TATTATAACGGTGGTGAAGTGTACACTATACAGTTCACATTTTTTAGTGCTAAGTGTGGGTCGTATATAGTAGGTACACTCTAATCTTAGGACCTGTCAGACGAATACGCTCGATGACCGGTAAATATACATAAAACATACATTAAAATATATACTCGGCAATAAAATAATATACCTAACCTATCAATATGCTTGAAATGTGATATTATTATTATAACGGAGCTGTCATTCAGCTATAATACGCTCTGTTCGCAAAACCATGCACAATATATGCGTCAATATTCATATCTTCTTCTGCCTGGTATCGTCATATATTATAGTACCTACCACTAAGCCTGCGAATAAACGAGTTAAAAAGTTAAAGTTAAGTTAATTTTAACTTTTTAAAATTTAATTTTTAACTTGACTGATTTTTATTGATATAAATAAATAACGAGTTCATTTTAATCAAGTCCAAGTTACGATGATTTATAAATAATTAAATAATAAATATAATACAATTGATGATACATGTTGCGTAAACATTTAATTTTTATTATTTTAAATCATATTACTGGCTATATATAAATTAAAAAATAATTAAATAAATAACTTAACTTAATAAGTTAATTTTAAGTTTCCATTTAAATTTTAACTTAACCGAGTTCCAAAAATAAATAGGATAACTATTAACTATATAGTAAATATTTTCAATAAACTTAACCAAACTCAGTTAAAAATTATCACTAACCCAGGCTTGCCTACCACCCGCAAATATTCCCATATCGTCGAATGTACGTCATAATATGTACGAATCCGGCACCTATATTATATCTTATATTATAGTATATACATTATACATAATACATACATACATAATAATTAGGATATTCGTATTTGTGAACTGTGCCGGTAGCCGGTAGGTAAATACGTGCATTGTGACACGACCGCCGCCCGTCTCATTTGAATAATATAATATTATTATAATATATCTGCAACAAAGACAGACGAGAAGCGAAAAATAAATAAAATACGACACATACAATTTCGCAGCACCACCGCCGGTGTGTATATACATATATTGTATACAATATGTGTTCGCTTATTCTTGTATAAATTACACTATAATAATATTACTATTATATATGTCGTATACTACGTGCGTAGCGCATTTCAATTTTAAACGCCAACAGTTTAAACGAAAGAAAAAAAAATTATAGACGCAAGCACGCAATTTGCATATAACACACACGCGTTTAATTGCGCCGATAATGATTCATTTCGCGAGTTCAAAGTTTAGAATTCGCGCATTACAATAATTATATATTTTCATGTAATATAATATACACGATATAGGTATCCATTGATTGTTATATAACAATATTATTACGAGAGTTAAATACGTAAATCGAATATTCCTAAGCTGATCAAGTTCATCAACCTATTTATTACTTTTTAAATTTGTTTCAAGTTTGTTTTAAATTCTAATCACTATAACTTTAAAATACCTATCTACACTGTATTACATAGGCTCAAATTGCAGAGGGGCTAGGTGGGGGCTTAGCCCCCCCCCCAATAAATATAAAATGTAACATTTAACAGTAGGTTAATAAAAATGAATTATACACATAAGGACCTAATGCTAAAGATTCCGTGGTCATCATGCTATTATTTCGAGTTTGGCATATGAAATGATCACTCTTGCTAATATAATAATTTAAATTTTATCAAAGTTTCTTGTATACAAATAACAGGTATTTACACACATTTTATGAAAATGGTATATCAATGTTACGTAGGTACATCGTTGTAGTTATAATTAGATTTTTCGTTATTAGGGTATAGGGCTGGTTTGTGGGCCTGGACCCCCCGTCCCCGTTTGGTTGTATTTGAGTATCATATTCATAATGTCAAGTGATACCTATGTTATTCGGTTCTGATGTAAATTGTTAATTGTATAATACAAAAATTTAATAAAAAAAAATATATTTCCATTCTATTCAGATCATTTTTTTTTTTGAAAATGCACTAAGTACCTCTCCCTATTTACCTATCTGGCTATCTAAACCTTTTTTTTTTTTTTTTACTTTATTTGAAATATACAATCTGTACCTGTGAGGCACAATAAGTACATGCGATGAGAGATACATACATATACAGTTAACATTAGTACAAATACTAACCTAAACATATATATTTACATGAATACACGGGTTGTGAGAAGCCATCCATCAATGACACTCAACTATGGGTATTTCTACTATTTTTTTTTTTTTTTTTTTTTTTGTTTATCTTTGTTTGAATTGTTTAAGTTTGGATGGGGGGGATAAGGAGGTCACGACACCAATTGCGTTTTAGACGCCTGGGAGGATTGCCAGGTATGGTCGGAACTGCGAGATCACGGATTAGTGGATTACTGTTGGCGGACAGACGGTTATGAAAACGCTTGTAATGCGCTTTAGCTTCTTCCTGGACAGTTTTTAATTTTAAGTCGGAGTGGATAGTGCTGTTCGATATATAAGGTGGAGCATTGAGTATTTTCCTGAGGGTTAAGTTTTGGAAGGTTTGGATCTTATTAAGGTTAGATTTTTTGGCATTACCCCAAAGCTGGATGCCATATGTCCATACAGGCTTTATTAGGGATTTATAAATAAGTAGTTTTGTATTAAGGTTAGTGTGTGTGTTATTATTAATGAATGTTCTGAGCAAACGAAAACGAGCATTAAGATTTAGACGCTTAGATTTAATATGAGGAGCCCAAGTTAACCTACGATCTAGGATTAGACCGAGGTATTTAACCGTTTGAGAACTGGGAATTTGGGAGTCAAAGATGGAGACAGCAGGGCAAGGTAGAAGTCTAAGAGTGAAAGTAGTATGGACAGATTTAGCTTGATTTATTTTTAACCTCCAATTAGTGTACCAGTCTTGCATGAGAGATAGGTGATTTTGTAGATGGCTAGAAGCTGTGATAGGATCAGGACTTGTGGAGATGATTACCTTATCATCAGCATAGTCAGCGACTTGAGTGTTGGGTGTGATAGGGTGGTCTGAGGCATATATATTATAGAGCAAAGGGGAAAGAATGCCCCCTTGGGGGACACCCGCAGAGATTTTGGCTATAGATGAGAGAGTATCACCAATACGAGTGCTGAAGTATCTATCAGAGAGATAAGACTTGATGATCAGAAAGAAGACCGGATGTAAAAATTTCTTCAGTTTGTATAATAGCCCATCATGCCAAACCCTGTCAAAAGCCTGAGATATATCTAGAAAGGCACATGTGCAGTATAATTTTTTTTCCAGTGCGAATGAGATTGAGTCTACCAATCTGTGGGCTTGATGGATTGTTGAGTGAGCATTGCGGAAACCAAACTGGGAGTCAGGAAGAATGGAATTTGACGTGACGCTTGGTAGAATACGCTTTAATAATAGTCTTTCTAGGATTTTAGAAAAGAAAGGCAGTAAACTTATTGGGCGAAAAGAGGAAGTGGAGTCAGGAGGTTTATTGGGCTTGGGGACCAGGATAATGATTGAGAATTTCCAAATCAATGGAAAGTAGGAAAGTCTAAGAACAGCGTTGAAAATGTGTGTGAGGTGAACAATTGCTTTTTTGGGAAGGCATCTGGCAACATCAGCTGTGATAAGATCGAACCCAGGAGATTTGTTGGGGGGGTATTTATCAATCGTATATTTTACTTCATTTGGGGTAAAATGTTTGACAGGGGAATACACTGGGAGTGGGGCATTAAGAAATTCTTCAACAGTGTTTATATTTTGAGGAGAGTAAATATCGGAGTGCGGGACAAAAATATCAGACAGATGTTGTTTAAAAGCTTCGGCTTTATCCAAATCAGTGATTGCCATGCTACCATCCGGTTTTTTGATTGGAGTATTTGGGGCTATAGTTTTGCAAACACGCTTTGTTGCTCTCCATAGGCTACCGTCTATAGGGGAGAGGTTTTTTAAGTAACTGGCAAAAGAGTTAGATTTGTGTTTAGCTAGTAATTTTTTGAGACTATTAGACAGTTTGTTATAAATTTGCTTATGTGAGGGAAGCCGAGAGTGCTGATAAAGCGCTCTAGCCCTGCGTTTTTTAACTATAATCTCACGGATGTTGTCCGGGGTGAAAAACGAATTTGAGGGGGAGGTGGTTGGTTTTGATGAGGACCAAGCCGACGATTGGATGATGTTTGTAAGATTGATAGCAGCTGAATCAAGGTCGTCTTTAGATTTAAGTTTGACATTAAGTTTAATACGATGATCTACAAGATCGTGAAATTGGAGTTTATTTGTGGTGCAATTGAATAACTTTGGAGGAACAGGACGTAGAGGTGGAGAGACATTTAAAGTTAAAATTACTGAGGAATGGTCGGAATTTAGGTCTAGGATGTTAGCAGTGTTACTATGTATATTATTTGGAATTTTTGCCACAAAAATATCCAAAATATCAGGATTTTTACGAACCGAGGTCGGCCAATATGTTGGACCAGGGGGGGCAAGAACTTTAAAATTTTTTTGTGATACAAAGTTGTGAAGGACTGAACCACGGGGGTTGTTGGCGCGACAGCCCCAGGAGTGGTGCTTTGCATTGAAGTCACCTCCAATTAAAAAGTTGTTACCAACTGTGTTAAAGTAATTAGCGTAATGATTAACTGTGAGCTTGTGTTTAGGAGGGGAGTAGATAGAAGCAATGGTAATAGGAATGTTATTTAGTTTTACAATAATTGCACATGATTGAAGATGATCAAAACAGAAATTTGGAAGGGGTTCGAAAAGGACAGTGGATTTAATTAGTATGGCAACGCCACCATGTGCTGTTCCGTCAGGATGGTTGGTTATTAATAGCTTGTATCCGGGGATATGAATTGTAGAATATTTAGTGAAATGCGTCTCAGTGATTAGGGCAATGTCAATGCGTCTGTTATATAGAACATTTTGCAGTTCGTTTTCATGATTTTTTAAACCGTTAGCATTAAATAGTAGTATTAATAGAGATTTATTTGTAATTGAGTTGTAAGGCATTATGCTTTGATAAGTAACTTTTCTATTACTTTGGTAAGTAGTGACAAGAGAGGATTAATCAGAGATTTAAAATCCTCAAGGAATTTAGTGATAGTAATATTTAAATCAGTAGTTGATTCGGAAGTCGTGTTGTTGGTAGCTCTGCCAGAGGTGGCCTGGGCATAAGTGGGGGTGTGAGCATTAGAGTGATTTGGGTGAGTGTCATTGGAGGGATGAGTATCTTTAACATTTGATGAGTTGGGTCTAGAGTATGTTGGTGCAAAGTTACCTTTAGAAGTTGGTTTTTTGGCACGCTGGAGGTCTTTATAGATGGTGCATCCTTTGTAGCTCGCCGGGTGGTCACCTGAGCAGAGTGCGCATTTTGGAGGATCCGAACGTGGCTTTGGGCATTCAGGTGACTTATGATCGGCACCGCAACGAACACATCTCGGAGGGTAGCCGCAGTAGGTTTTGGTGTGGCCATACTCTTGACAATTATTGCATTGACTTATTATTTTGGTCTTGTAGGGTTCTTCGACTCTAACTTTTGTGTGTAAGAGCGATGTAAGTTGAAAAATATCGTTTGACTGGATTTGTGGCTCCAAGTCGACGAAAAAAAGAGGAAGTGGAGCTTTGGTCACTTTGTGAAGCACGTTTGTAACACGTCTGACATGAAACATGCGGATTTCAAGTTCATCTTTAATTGTCTCTGGATTCGTGGTTGGGTGAAGGTTTCGTATGACGACACGGAGAGGTTTGTCCTCTTTCAGTTGATAAGTATGAAATTCTGCTTGTTCGTCTTTTAAGAAATGGATGAGGGATCGGTATGATTCCGGGTTAGCTGTTTGGATTTTTAGACGGTCAGCGGATGCTTTACAGAAAAAGTTATCCACACCGATTAGTTCGATGAGTGCTTTTGATAGATCTAAGAAGTTGCGTATACCTCTCACAAAGATCGGAGGGGGAGGTTTGAAAACATCATCGTGGTTGTCATTATCCAGATTTGGAGGCAATGGTGTGTCAGGACCAGTCACAACCTCTTGAGAAAGGATTTGGAAACGATTTGTTGATTGGAACAATTTTGTTTTTTTGTGCGTATGTGTCTGAGAAGATTTTGAAGTAGCACTCACAGATGATGCTTGCGAGGAGGAAGAAAGAATTCTTTTATTTTTAACCAGGATGAAGGGGTCGCTTGAATTTACATCCTTATCCATGTTATTTTGAGTATTATCATTACCTGATTGTTTATGCGTTTTTTCCTTGAGTTTGGGTTGTTGATTAGCGTTGGTGTTTTGATTAGTTTTTTTTGTCGGCATATTAATTAATGAGTAAGCGGCGGTGAACAGTTATATTTATAATATGAAACGAGACCGCCTAACGGCGGTCGGAGATAAGATAACCGCAATGAAACAGTTACGTAATAACACTGAGGCTTACGTATAATCAAATAATAGTGCGTTTTGGCACTTGAATAAAACGCATTACGCACTACCTTAAACAGTTTATCATGGAAAGTTTTATAAAAAACAAAGTTATTTAACGTTAAGTTTAACACTGAGGGTAATAAGTATACACTACTATAGCATTGAAAGTAGACATTCACTAATTAGGTAATTAGGAAATTAAGAAGAGCGGGAGCGCGAGATACGTGCGTATCGATCGGCTGCCACCGCGGAACTGAATCTAAACCTAAATTTAAAAGATTAGTTTCTGTAAATTAATAAACTTTGTGTAGGTACCAAGGAATTGGCAAGGATAATAAATTAAGTATAGGTAATGATTTAGCATCATATATTTAAAGTAGATACAATATTTGTTTAGGAAATCATTAGGCTTGGACAGTGGACAGTCGACGATGCCTAAAAATTATAAAATGCTATTATACATTATTAGTAAAAAATAACTATTATTTTCAAATAATCGTCACCCCAATATTTTTAAACCTATTACCATACGGACTATTATCCTTATTCCTTAAAATAATAGTAAGTTCATCAAGTTTAATAATTCAGATACTACACTTTAAAATTTTGATTTAGACAAGTCATCAGTATTTAAAAAACAAATTATTTACTTCAAAAAGTACATTAAGAAAGGCGGTAGGTAGTAGGTACCTTTTTGAAAAAAATAAGTTCTTGTTGCACAGGAAACTTTAAAGCATACGAAAAATCTAAGTATCTAAAAATATGGTCTCTAGTGTATTTAAAATATCCAAAAATAGTAATTTGAATAAATGCCACTATTCATGGCCACGAGGGTGAAAGAGGGATTAGCTTGCTTGTTAAATCACCGTATAATATAAATGTAAAAACTGAATTTTTTTATCCTTGGCAACAGTGATAATATCAGGACATTCATTATAATATATTATACACGTATAATCTAAAAGTATAATGTTACAGTAAAAGTAATAAAATAATTTGTTCAACTATATAAAAGCGTACGTTTGCATCGGTGTTTCATATTATATTATAGCAGCTTACTATAAATAATATCTCAATGTGTCGAGGATCTCATCAGTGAATGACTGCGCTTGGAAAATATTTTTTTTCACGCCTGCACCGAAAGTTTGGTTTCCTTTTTCCGTCCAATGGGCAGCAAAGTGGAAATCCCCACAAGTTCTGCTCACACATTTCACGCGCGTATACCCTGCACAAACGGACACTGAAATCTATACCACGGTCCTTACAAAACATAAACTTTTGGTTACATCTTATAATCATATTATAACCTCCATGCGTGGTGCTTAAAATAAAATATAAATAAAACCAAATCGTTTCTTTCATGGAATATTGTTGTGGTAGAAATGTAGAATTATAGTCTAGATGTTGCATAGATCCCTGTATAATACATTAATACATCACTGTATTACCTTTGCCGTAATCGATGAATGCAGAGGCGTGAAAAAAATAGTATGTGTGGCTCGTGTGGGAAGGCAATTTCAGTTCTGAGCGAAATGCAGCCCTCGCCTGCTGCTCGTGCCGCACACGTCGCCAGCTACTGAAATAGCTCACTTCCCGCCCTTGCCACACAATATACTATTAATAAGAAGTCAGTTTGCGTCGAATGCATTTCAAATGCCGACGCACCAAAAATGAAAAAATGAAATTTGTTGGCAACAATTTTTTACCACTCTCATATCGGGTTTACTGATGTTCTGTGGGTACCGGTGGATAATTATCGTTATTATTTTATTGTCACAGTACCAATAGCCAGATAGAGTTTACTAAAGACATTTAGACGCGTGCTACAAGACGCCAAGGTATAATATATATATATACAGTACTGTGACTGCACCGATTTCCGTATAGGTGTTATATACTTTCTAATATATATATAATATTTATACGACGTATATTGTATATACATGTAGTATGTACTATACAGAGTATATTATATATATATATAAATGTATTATATATTTATATATTACATAAAAGTGCGGTCATGTATAGGATACAGTGAGTCATGTATATATAATATTGCAGGTAGACACGTGTAATTACGAACGATTTCGGCACAATACACAAGACTAATGTTAACACGCGCCGTTACGCCAGTGCACATTTTTCACGGATAATAATTCGCGGGAAAAAAACGTATTTGGCTTAAGGACACGCGCATATTATTTGGAACAATCGTATTCTCGTTATTTCATATACCTAAGCAAAATTGTTGTGATTTTAGGTATACCTATTGTGCATTGATTGTGCGCTCGTTGTACAATATTTTATTGACATGTATGTCGTTCGCCTATATATAGGTTTCATTTTCGGTCTTCTCGGTCATATTACAAACGCCTTCGCTATAGAGTCTGTACCAATAATAATATATACATATATATGATAGTAATACTCACATACATATAGCAACCACGGCCCGGCGGGTGTATAAGATAGTATTATTATTCCTTATCTATGTAGGTAGGTACCTGGTATTTATTGGTATATCGTCATCGGGTCATCGTGTCACTATAGGCCGACCACTGTGGCGACGGAATGACACTACATCTTGCATTCGCACGTATTATTATTGAAAGAAATACATATAAATATGGCACTGGTGCAGCATGCATAAGCGGTTTGTCGTAGATCAGGGACGAGGAATATATTATTATTATTGTAGTTTCAGTCGAGTCCATGTCACTATAATAATAACCACAAACTATTACGGTAATACTATAAAATGATCATACTATCTATGTGCAAGCTGTAAACAATTGTTTTTGCATCGTCTATGAATCATAGAACACAGTTGTATACTTGTATGTATTATACTATTATGTAACAATAATAACAGTTGTCATGACATTAATAATATTATCTATGTAGTTATGTTTTTCTTTTTAACTAGGAATACTAAACAGTAAATGAGTAATTTTTTTCACGAAATCATTCGCCAAAGTTTTTCCGAGAACAAAATATGTAATGATGAAAAACAGTTTTGTTTGTTAGTCAAAAATTCAGTTGTTTTATAGCAATTTCAAAATATCGAAAATGCGTAGGCAGAGTTTTTTTAATAAACGTTTGAAGAACAAAATATGAAGTTCACAAAGTTAAGAAATTTTGAAAATTATTTGGTGTTTGAAAATTCATTAAATTTTCAGTTGTGATACCTAGAACTTCAAAATTAAGGCATATGTTAAGCTGCAGTGTTGGCATACAAGTTTGATAACTCATGTACCTATTGTATGACGTATTAAAGACGAGTAGGTAGGGTGTTTTATGTTTTGAAGAGCTTATAGCTCATCTATTCCACAACAAGCTGCAATTAATTCTAATTTTGAGCGTGGCGATAGGAAACATTAGAGTGCAAAAACCTTGTGCTTTGTCATGAAAATTATCGACAAACACTAAGATGTTTGTATATAAACAAATTATTAAAGCCGAGACGTCCTTGGGTCACGTCCGTGCGGTCACCCGTGTCGCCACAGCCGTAAGTCGTCATCGTTGTGTTATATAGAAGTCTCTTGTAATAATTATATATAATATATATATACCAAGTATTACAACAGTCAACGTTTCGGTCTTTAACCACGGCCCTCCGGTCTATAACTCCCGTGAATCCGCGAGGACGCCATTTCGATAGTGGTTGCAAACGCTGCGCTGTTTTGTTAGCGGGGAAAATTTTTTAAATTACCCTGGGTGGTTTTTACGATAAAACGGGAGAGCAGCTGTCCCAATATCGGTGGTAAACTCTTTATAGGTATAAATGTATAATAGTGAATAATGAATATAGAAATAGGTACTTTAAAATGGGGTTACTATTTGATAAATGTTTACTCTTTTATTACAATCTTACTTTTTATTTTATTTATTATTACTATGTTGTATTTACGATAAAAATCTCAAAATGTAATCTTAGTTACACGTAATTATGCTAAATTTTTTAACGTTTTAATTTTTAAATTTCTGAAATATTAATCATTTTAAATGCTATCAAAGTTACACAACGCTGTAGGCGCTTTGATACCTTAATTTCATAATGTGGTATCAAATTAACCCCATTTTGTGAAAAAATAAATGTATAATTGTCATGGTTTTCTGGTCAATAAAAATATAAGTGTATCAAAATAGTTACCCCATTCTATGGTAATAAAACTCTGTGGTATTAAAACCATTTGTCAGGACAAAAACATATTGTACCTTTCGACCATGTCTTAGTTTTGATTTTGCAGTCAATTATGATATTAATATTATAATATTATGTATAAACAATATTAGTGATATCATTCTGAGTATGAAAATTATATTAGTACATTATTATTACGATGTACAGAGGAAAATAGGACCTTCGCAGTCATCTCATTGAGGGCACCTTCACATACCAAAAATGGTGTCGCAGCTCATCTAAATAAATACATAATACTTCTACAATTTGGTACTATGTTGTTGACTATATATTATATTATTATCGAGGTTGTCCTCGTAATACGTTTTTCTCGTGTAGGTACTGCAAAGTGCAGGTACCCACGTATTTGGACGGTTGAGTGACGTAACTATAGGTAATAATTCCCTAGGTATGTAGTCAGCCGGATGATGGATGAACGGAGCACAGAGTGCCGCGGCCGACCAGTAAAAATGACATAATAATAGCCGTTTGGCTCGCTCCACCACCGCCCAACGAGTTATTTATCATTATTTTTCGAACTCGCATAGGTAGGTAATAGGTATACTTATTACGGCGGCGGAAGAACATCACGCCACGGAACTCCCCAGACACACACGGATATAATATACAATATGTGCTTTACACATATATAGGTATCATTATTACTATTATTATTAATATTACGCAACGGTCTATAAAAACACACACGGGCGGCGACTACCACGACTGCATATATATATATATATAAAATCGTATATTTTGTGGCGGTGGGTATGGGTATGGGACATAATAATAATACGATGTGTATAATAGTAAAGATTTACTGCAAAGGGAGATAGAATGGAGAAATATCAGTGCGACAGACGGAGAGGCGTCAGCGTGAAAGAGAGAGAGAGAGACGTGAACGAACACACACTACCGCGCACCGACCAGACGACGACAGTCCGTACGAGCCCCCGCGATATACTTTCACTATCGTCGACGAACTGATCGCACTCGTCGGCCATAACGTCGCACCGTAACACGTCGCCGTCTTCCGTCCGAATAATATAATAAAGTTATTATTCGCCATCGTATCGCCCACCTGTAGGTAACACCACCGCCGCCACCGACGACGACTCCGATCGCACACATAATAGGGAAGAAAGCCAAAAGGAGATTCTAAAAAAACGGATCCTTTTCGGCGGTCCATCGTATAATATTCATTCAGCGCGCGTTATCGTGTTCTTCAGTGTTTTCGGGTTTTTTTTCTCATCGATTTGTTCTCCTCTCGTTTGCGATGTATCTGCCGGCTCATCCATCCATGTGTGCGGAACGATCGGTCTAGAGACGTCCGATTTGAATACCATCATAATCGCATTGCGCACTGAGGCGTTGTTGGCCAGAGAGCACAGAGCACACAATACGATCAACTGCTAGAACAAAAAAAAAAAAAAAAACCGTAAATCCATCATCAGGCCCTAGTGCACGTGCAATTAGGAGGATGGTGACACTATCATACACAGCCGCCGCCGATCATCCGGTGTCGCTGGTACTCCGGGCGTACCTGTTGATCACGGTAATCGCCACCTTTTCCCGACCCGCCGAAGCCGTCCTTTCCGTGAACGCAACACGTGAGTACCTATGCCAATATTTCAACGACACAATATTATTTTAATAATTCTTGTGGTCTTGTCATGTTATCGTTATTTTAATTATAATATTACCTACGTATATGACTGTCGTACGATCAGACTTATTCTTTATTAGAACATATCAAACTTATAATAACTTACAATAATTGTACTTCACTGCTCAGAGAGATTTAAGCCTGTTGTAGTCTGTGTTCATTGAAATAATGACATGTAAGTATAAAAAGTAAGCTTCAATTCGTACGACGAAAACGAGTACGCGCCTTTACGGAAACTTATCGTAGAAAGTACTTTATTATACTTATCTGTCTTACCTAACTCTCATTATTGAGTTTGAACGGGTTTTCTCATTTTATTTATGTGCTGCGTTACTAACGACGTCGCTTACGTTTTTATACTGCCACAGATTATAATATTATAAAATTATAATATTGTATTAGATTTCATATTATGATCTGTAATGCGATGTTATTAAATAATATATTGATAAGTATCTAAGTATGTTATGTACTTCTACCTTCGGTGTCATAAGTTAATAACTAAAAAGTACGCTTATTTGTTTAGATTCAGTTTTTATTCCATCCCACGATGGTGAATAGGTGTGTGTATATAATATTATAATATATATTTATCTTTCTTCTACACAAGTACTGCATAATATTATGTATTACATAAAACGCGACTGTTCCGTGAAACGATTTGTTTGTTTAATGACGAACAGTAATAATAATTACGTGGTTTTACTTTCATAACATAATATATAATATAATAACGGTCCTGCAGTGTACCGACCATCAGATAGGACGTACCTATGTTATTTTCTACGAGTTTTATTGACGACCGCCTCGAAAGCACACGCACCTATTTTACGCTGTCGTTATATTTTGTATTCACTTCCTATTTTAACAAACCGATACCATTTTATGACATAATATTAAAGTCGGGTTTCATTTCATATCGACAAATAATAACTAACAGTCGTAAATCGACGATCGTCGATGAGTGTAGGTACCAGCTACCTAAACCTACCTACCTCCCCTTAGAATTTTTTGAAGTCAGTATCCTTATTTGCATTAAAACGTTTAGTTATTTTAATAGTATCAAAGGAATGGCGTAACAATATTATAACAAGTGTGGGCCGCGTTTCATAAAAATTGATTAATTCTACTTACTAAAATGTAATCGTGGGCCACTAAATCGTGTTCGAGTGACCGTTTGCTAACTTTTGAGTGTTGATTCATTAAATATTATGTTCAGTGATTGATTAGGCAATCAATCACTAAATCCACTATGTTCATTTTCGCGAACCTTTCGATTAACCTATACGGCTATAATACGCATCAATTCACAATTGTATTCTATATTCTGAGGTATTTGCACACGATTGGTTTAGGCTTCTAGTACCTATATACTTGGGGTTTCGATGTAGCGCCCTGTCATCAATCATCACTCGTCACTATAACTTCAGTGACTCGTGATGTCACATAATGAATTGTACAATCATTGTTGTGCCTACACAGCTACACACCTCTTGTGTACGCAGGTAGGCAATAGCTCGTATCTACCGTTTGGCGGACTCGTTTGAAAAGTTGTGCAAAACCACACAACCGTATTATACGACGATAATAAAGATTATATTATTATTATTGCGGTGTTGGTATTATATTATTATTATATACGCGTGACGCGCCAGAAATCGTGTACACTTATCCACATTACCATTGTGAGTCCACTGCAGAGACGAGTGATTATCCAACAGCGGGCGACAATAACGCGCGCGTTGCTTAATTTTTATTTTTTGCGCTTGTACACACCTATCGCATCGATGACGTAATATTATTATACACACGATAATATTATACCGGATAACCGTCGGCTTTCGGTCAGCAACTCTTCAGCCGGTTCTCCGCCGACGATCCGGCCGGGGTCGTTCTCCTCCGGATACGGAGACTAATTAATAATATTAGATATTTAGATATTATAATGTTATGACATGCTATTATAATAATACAGATACAGTGCGACTGCCAAAGTAACATCGACGACAGAACCACCTGTAGACCAGCATTTACATTTCGCGGCGTGTGAGTGTCCCTGCCCGTCCGGAAATCTTCACCGCCGTTGAACAATGATATTATTATGTATATTATCGTGCTCACAAGAGTGTACAACTACAAAGCTGCTGATGTACTAAAAATTGCCTCGACGTTGTTGGCACACACGCCATATAATAATATAATATACCTACTCGGTATATTATGTGTACATAATATATATTGTAGTGTATAGGTATTATATACTTGACCGAACGGGGTCAAGGGCTTGGCATATTATACGTCCGATTTTAATCGATCGCATTGAAATAATGTGTCCACTGCGTATTACGCGTATGCCACATACTCCACACCAGTACCATACACTTATACTGTTATATACTGCACGTGACCAGAACCGAGCCAAAAGCGTGCAAATAACGACGGTCGCAGAGTATAATAAAAATATGATATATCGAATAAGTACCTATTATAATAATTGTTTTAACGCGACAGTAGTTAGATATTAATTCTTTGACCGAAAATCTCGAGACGTCGCCGACCGGAAACGCACCGGAAACACGGTCACGGACCGGACATTCAGAAAGTGAAAGCGCGCTCGGTTACGATGTGGCGCGGTTATTACTCAATACCTGGTGCTGCAGCAATCCGTGGGAAAGGAAACCACCGACCGCACGGCGGCGGCGATCGGTCTGTCGAATTGAAGACGAGTTCACTAATCCGAGTGTGGTATCATTATTATACATTTTATAAGTGTACATTACGAGCGTCATGTGTTATTTGGGCGAATCAGCAGTGATGCCTATCTGCAGGTATAAATACGTACCACCGGGAGATGCGAATTTTAACAATTTTTTTTAGACACCGTTAAATGTAGCCATGTAGGTAGTTTGGCCATAACTATTACGCGTGTCACTATAATTATTAATGTTAAATAATCGAATGGTGCGCCGCACAAGTTCAAAAAGTCTCAATCTGCTGCAGACACACTTTTGAACATTTCGTTAATCATTTGAATTATTACAAAACATCATGTCCTGATGTAGTTTATCTATACCTCAGGTATAATGCAGACATCATAAACTGCTCATGTCCGATGGTCACTGGTTACCAGTTTATCACCTGCTAAACCTCATGTCCATCGAGCATTTTTTTTTATAGTACCTACTACCTAGCACGGATATAGATACTATGGTTGAAGGATGGCCTATATTGGATCACAGCATTGAGTGGCGCTGAATGTTCTTATCAAATCTAAAAGTCGTGACCTACTAGCGCCCCTAAAGCAACTATGGTACTACGATCTTACCTAGCCGTGACTTTTTTTGTATGTATACTAAGCATAGACATTGTAAGTCTTATAATATCTATATGATACGTATGTACATGGTTTATAACTCGATAAGAACATTTGGCGCTGTTATATTATTGCTTGTTGTGTAACCCTACCGTGGTACCTATAGTCACTGACGCCCGACAAACTGATCCTAGCTATAAACGCTATAACCTTTAGGCTCTTGCCAAATTCACGCCATTACAAGGCCTTAATAGTACACAATCCAATCATATGCAAAAATTATTATAGTAATAGCTTGGTGTGCTGTGTATAATTTAACGTGAATCCTGTCCTGTCTGTCTATTCTTAATAAAAGAATATTGAGTACAATGAGCACCCTCTTCGTCATAACTCACAAGTATAATACTATGTAGATAATAGTGCTTACCTACCTACATTTGCATTAATAGTTGGTACACGGTAGTTCAGAATTCAAATTATTCACGGCAATGAAAGTCGTACTGTAGTTTCGACTTTGACTTTCCGTGTGAAAAGATTTTCGTAATTTTTGTGTCTTATGACAATCTGCATTGATGACTGATAAGTGATAACATCATTATTTGGTGGGGTATTATAACCTATCCAACTATAAATAAGATTAAGGTTGTAAACTTATACCTTAATAATATGCTTTACCTTCGGTAGTTCAGTCACTAAGTTTGTCAAAAAGAGTCAAAACATTCTACAGTTAATGCTATAAATTGAAAGGAAAACAAATTTGTGGCATACCTACAATAACATAATATTATACACAGATACACTAACACTAACTACTGGTAATAACCAATAAGTGTAAATTATTAAAATAAAGTATGATTAATAGTATGATTAAAATAACAAGTATGAAGTAATTATACGTCAAACTATTGGGTTATGGCTCTATTTATTAAGAATTATATAAATTAAATTGAAATGATTTATTATTTAATATTTACTTATTTATTTCTGAAATTTCAGTAAGTAGTTTTTGTATTAATGAGTTTTTTATTATTTTAATTACGGTTACTGACGCAAATGTTAAGAGATTATATGATATCAAATGGCAGTTGTGAAAATAGTTGTAAATCACTAAGACGTTTGGCGATTAGAGTATTTAAGTATAGTAATAACACTAATAAGTATAGTATTAAAGTACCTATACCTAAACAAAAATAATTATACATTTTAGGTTTCGAAGTCTTATTTTGTGTAGGTAACGAGTAACGACTATCAATATAGTTACTATAAATTCCATAAAAAATAAAACATTACATTTATGGAGTAGTTTTCAAAACGATCATTGCTATATTTTGGTTTTTAAGCTTAATATATGTTTACAATAACTATGCAGGATATTTCAATTAATTTTTGTTTTGTATTTTATTTATATTTTCCAAATCAACTTTCAATCTTGTAAATTTAAATTCAATAATTAGACTGCCATAACTAATTGTAAAAACAACATATTTTTATCTACTATATTATTATTTTTCTTGATTATTAATTTAAAAATCTATATGTTTCACGATGTGTTTTTGACATATCTTTGTAGTTAAACTGTTAAAGGTAAAAAAACGTCAAAATAGTACAGTTTTAATTTTAATAGGATACTTCAACTCCTGATGCTAAAACTGTGTAATGCATCTCATGTTTTATTTAATTGTCTTATAATAACGTGTAAGTACAATACTATTTTTAATTACATTACGGTGCATTACGTTACTAAATACTATTAATAAAAAAACTGAAATAATGATTTTAATTAGTTTAACCAGACTCTAATATTATGATTACCATCTTTTATTTATCATTATTATTAGAGTACCTATTTATAATGTGAAATATCAATTAAATTACATTTGCACTAAATTGGTTTCTAATACCTATTGTAGATAAGCTGAAATCTATAAGTAAAAATATTTCACTCAGTACATCCAGATATAATAATAATTGGTTACGAGTGATTAAAATCCCTGATATCCAAATAGATAAACAAAAATATACCAATACATAATTATTACATTAAATTCTCAAATTATATTTCAAGTTCATATTAAATGTATAGCTAACCAACCTACGAATTAATAGGTTTATATGACTAACTATATTTATATAAACTCAGTACATATTTGGTTATTCTTTGATCACGTAAAAATATTTTAGGGAAAATTTGTTTTACTTGTTCACATATCGTACCTACTCAAGTAATAATACAAATTTGTTATACTTCGAATGTAAAAAATATAATTTTATTATAATGTACTAAGCAGTATTATTTTTAAAATTTGAACCACAAACATTAATGTGTAATATTCTAACAAGAAAAATAATATATTATTTGTTTTGTTTCAGCTGAATACATTCATTCGTGTCGTAAAGCGGACGTTCAATTCAATAGTTGCATAAAAGAAACATTCAACCATCTTAGGCCCTACCTCATCGATGGTATATTATAATATCACATATTATACAGTAAAGTTCATTATACACAATAATAATGCATATTTTTTCATCTATTTATTGTTAATTAAATAGATAAATGCATTTTTTTGTTGCACGCATAATAATAATATTATATTAATTTACCCCGAGAAACATATCATAACGCGAATCTCCCATAACTAATGGGACTTTCTCGATATCAGACATTTTTTTTTTGTTCGATCGATATTTATGTTATTTACAGGTTCCACCCACACCCTGTTTGACGTATTTGTCATAATATTCAAGACATTTTTTGTCCTTAGGTATCGAAGAGCTTACCGTGCCTCCGATCGAACCATTAGTTATACCAAAAATGCAAATGGAAAACGGTCATGGTGCAGTCAGGGTGAGGGCCATACTCAGTAATATGACTATACACGGCGCGAGCAATTATACAGTTTTAAACGTCAGGTTAGATTGAATAATATTTACTTAGTTGTTATAAGATAATCTTCAATAATTCAACACAACACAATATTATACTCTGTTCAACGAGAGAACGCACCGATTCTGCGCATCTCCTCGCGTTACACTGTTATCAAAACTGATTCTCCAATGGCAGGATGTTGCGTGGGGGAACCAGTTTTGGTCGGTGCTCCGTGTGTTCTCTCGTTGAACAGGGTATAGTTAAATAAGTGTGGTTAATATTATTACTGCACCAAGCGTTTTGCTTACCTTTAGTTAATACCTAGTTATTTTTCTAAGATATACCTACCTATTTATTATAATATTTTATTTAAAATATAACTTTTTAATAGCAATTCATGAGCCAATATATTTAGTCACGTAAATATAGTTCGTTTTCTAACTTATATATTTTATAAATATTTATTTTAGTTAATTATTGATAAACGAAATCTAATTTATTTTTCATTATTTACTCGAGATTATTAAACATTACTACTACACGGCACGGTCGTAGTCCTATAGACTATGACAAACAATTGGTTACAACTTAGCTGTTGTCTATATACTTACTATTTTTTAAACTTATGTAACTCTTAACAATACAGTTGGTAACATAATAATTTATACTTTCAAATGTTGAAATGTAGTATATTATAATATATTATGAGTACCTAATCGGTTCAAACTTTGAATAATTTTAACCATATAAAACTCAAATTTAATAATTGAGTTTGTATTGTGTATACATCGTATTCTTAAATTAACTGAATAATTTAATATGTTTTTAAATTTTAATCTTAAGTAGATATTTTTTGCACAACTGATATTAGATTATACATTATCTTATACAAAAAAATGTATGAATAAGGTCATTAACATTTATTATCTCTATATTGGATTTATTATTTGTGTATGCAAATGTGTATGGTTCTACAATTTTCTATAACATGCGTAGACTATGAATATTAATATTTAATTGCAAATTATTTTTATAGGAGTGATATGAATAAGTACCGCATAGACTTAGGACTTTTCATACCACACATCGAAGCCACTGGAAGCTACGATGTTAATGGAAACGTGTTACTATTACCCGTTAGAAGTAGAGGAGAATTTTGGGCGTCCTTCGGTCAGATAACATTTAATTATACATTTTTACAACTGGTGAAATAATTTGATGCTTATGTAACCCCTTTTTGCATTTAGAAAACGTAACGGCCTTAGCAAAATTATATGGAGTTGAGGTGAATAAAGAAGGAGTGAAATTTATGAAAACCGAAAGATTGGGAGTTGGTTTTAAATTGGAAAATTCAGATTTTAAGATCAAAGATGCCATCAACATGCAAAACGTCATAGGTTAGATCACAGAAATACATGCCTTTAAAATGTGTTATATTATAAATATGGTTTTAAAATTATTTATGATTTTATTCAGGTGAAGCAATGAACGTATTCTTGAATGAAAATTCTGCAGAGATCATTGAAGAAATGAAACCCGCCGCTTCTCAAGCCATTGGCAAACATTTCAAAAATTTCTTGAACAACGCGTTCTTACAAATTCCACTAAAAGTGTGGCTGAAAGACTCCGAATAATTTAACCTATAACTTTTCATGTCTATCATTTGTTTTGTAATTTCCTTTACCTTTCCAATACTATAGTGGGTAGTTTTATATTTAAGCATCATTTAGGTATTATACGCATAATCTTATTCTCATAATATATGTAGTTTTATAATCGTATATTTATTTAAGTTACCTAGTTACCACACTTTGAACAAATATTGACATAGAATTTCTATTATGTAGACTATATTTTTACCATTTATATTTGCCATTTTGTATATGTAAGTACATTATACATAATATAGGTATATCGTATATTATTATGTCATCGTATTTTTCGTACGGGTTTTTTTTTAAATCGTAATAGTTACTTTAGAAGTAGTGTTATTGACAATTTTGTATTACTTATATATTTATAATCTCCTATTGATTATTATTTTAGTTTTGAATTAGTTGTATGTATTTTGTACGCAAAATGTTTGAAAATTATAACTCGCTGCCGGGTGACAATGCAATAATAAAATGGTATGTTTTACATTGCACATATACAATTTTAATGTGCCAAAAGAAAATATAGTTCATTATTTTAAGGACAAAACTTTTCTTTAAGATTATTGTTAACGACCCATTATATAAATGTTATGTTTTTTTTTTTAATTATTAATGTAGGTTTGTTAAACAAAATACAGCTTAATATGTTGAAAGAGAAACGTTATAAATTAAAACTATTAACATATAATTACAAATTACTGTATAGTTTTAGTTATATTCAACGTGTATTCTTATAGAATGAATGAAAAAGAGTTTCATTTATTTATTTCCATATTTATATATTTAATCAAATTATCAATATTAAATATTAATACTGTTATAATAAACAAGAATGACCTACTTAGTATTTTGATTTCAAAATCTTTATTACAATACATAGATACTACATAATGTTCTTGGATCATTTATGAATGAACTCGATTCCATTCAAAGAAATTTCATTTTTTTTTTTTAATATATTGTGTTTTTACACGATTAAAATAAATTTTTATTTTTAAATAATGGGGTAGTTTTGTTAAAATAATTGAGAATTGCGTACGAGTTTCACCGTAATAAAAATACGCCAACCTTGGTTAGTGATCACCAGATCTGCCTGAATGATAAATGTGTGATTAAAAAAAAAAAAAAAAAAAAAAATGAGAAAGAAGAACAAGGTCAAACACACAATCTAATCTTGGTCAGGTTATATACGTGTTGAAAATTTAGTGGTAGGTAATTAAAATTGGCCAATTAGTAAAAAATAAAGAGAGTCGTTTTAATTATATTAAGAATGCAATCAAAAGCTATACAACGTATGATAAGTACATTTTTATCCTATTATTTTTAAATATGAAGTCAACCATTACAAACAATACAAACAATTATTTTATATTGTAATATAATTATACTTTTAGAATTTATAATAATATGTTACATTGATATCTATAGGTAATTAAAATACTTTTCTATACTGTTATTGGTAAAACAAGAAAATTGAAATAAAGTTCTACCTTAAACTATATTTATTCTAAAATGAATGTAATTTTTCATTACGTAATTGATATATTAAAAACAAACTCGTAAAAATAGGCAAAATAAAATATTTCAGTAATATATTGTAATTTAATAATTTCTTTTATCCATCTCATATTTGCTCAACATGTTCAGAAAATGTATATGTTTTGCTTATGTTGTACATTGGCGTAAAATATTTAATTGCATTTTTGATTTTCTTCCGAACGAAGAAGTTATTGGTTTTACTTTTACACTTTTATTACTCTTACTACCATGTGATTTTATATCTCGGAAAACATTTATTGGGGCAATAAAAGAGTTTCATAATGTAGCCACTCTATCGATTGAAATAGAGATAGCGGAACTGTCGTTAATATTGTGTATGGTATGAGTGTATGACGCAACACAAGATGTCCATACATTCGATATATTATGTACCGAGAAGCCACCAATCCTCTTAATTTATTATTCCAATTTATAACTATACCAGTTTCAGTAAAATATATAGGTATGGTTGTAATATTAAAAGAGAACAGAGACATTGCATTTTGCTTTATAATTATTATTCAATGGTACTATCCACAGTGTGTGTGTGGGGGGGGGGGGGGTGAATCGGATAGAAATGCTACGAAAAACTTTATTGTATATACAGAAATTGAATTGAACAGCTATAAGCTTGAAATTAGAAATTTATCACGGATTTTAAATTAAAGTTAATATTTATATTTTACTTATTTACCTACGTGTTGGCCATCCAACCTTTACTATTGCTTTGTACACATAAAAAATAGACTATAATGACCATTTTGTAGCCTACCATTACACCTAAGGTGGTAGGTACAGCCCGACAGCCGGTTGGTATTTTAGAAGTAGTAAACGTCGGTCTCAATAATATGTAAAGGCGAGTTTCCTGACCGCCTATCCTAGTGATGAATTCACTAACTCTTATGGTTGGGATGAGACTGCATACCCATACGATATTTAAATAGAACCTCCATTATCATAATAGCCAATAGGTACGCAAGCATGCAAACCACTTAATACCACGATTTAAGATATACAAATATAACTATATAAGATATTTTATATAAGATATATATGTATCTTAAATCGTGCTTAGTACATAATATTATTTTATTTATTCTAATTTTAAACGATATTATAATGAACGTATGCTCAATATTATGATAAAGTATAATTTCTGTACTTACTATTTTTTTTAGGTATGCTGTTTAATATATATTTTTTTGTCACCGAAAGTTTGGTTTTCGATAGCGGTTGAAGAGTTGGAAAGTGACCTTCTTCCGTCCAGAGGGCTGTAAAGTGAAAATAACCAAAAGTGCTGGGTGCGCATATCACGTGAATCTACTGCGCAACTGATTTCATTTTTTTTATTCTTATTTTATTTTAATAAAATAATTATTATTTATACTGAAATCTATACCACGGTCATTACAAGACATAAACTTTTGGTTACATCTATTCATATTTTGATCTCCATGCATGACACTTGAAAGAAATAAAACCAAATCGTTTCTTCCATGAAATGTTGTTTTCGTAAAATAGTCTAGTTGTTACATAGATCTCTGCATTACCTTTGCCGTGATCGTATGTGTGGCTCGTGCGGGAAGGCAATTTGAAATTTCAGTCTTGGTCGAAATATGGAACTGAAATAGCTCACTTCTCGCCCTTGTCACACAATGTAGGTACAATAATTTTTTTTACTGCTTTTATATTCTGAGTTAAGCAATGATTATATTGATTTTGTAACGAAGTGTGGTCTTTTTAAAAACAATTTTTGTCTGAATACCTACACATTTTCTAGAATAAAAAATGATCTGATCATCAACTTCGAAAGCAGGTAGCAAATTGAACCTATTTGGTACCTTTTGTAGGTAAAATGTATTAAAAATCTCAGTAATTTTTAAAATAGTCGAGAAAAATAAATATAAACATTTGTCACATTTTAATATTAATATAACCTCAGTAGGGTACCAAAAAGTTAGACTTTGGTCCGAATCATTCTTCATCGTATGCAATGATCTATCATTGAATACAAATTTAACACATTCTTAACAGTGCCTATAGGTACTCAATGACGAGGTACACTCGACTCCTACAGTACAGAACAGTGATTAGTGATTACCTACCTATCGTACAGAACAGCGAATAGTAGGGCCATACACGAATAGTTTTCTTGACAGTTTTTAACCGCGATCCTACTGTTTTATCGGTAGTTTTGGAATGTCACAGTTCTGATCTGTCATTACCCTGCACTAACACGACATTCCTGTCCTCTCGGTTGTCGAAGTACAAACCTTCGAAAGACCATAACCGCTGGTTAGTGGTGTAAGAACTGACAGATTTCATCGAGGGACGTGTCCCCTGGTCTTTTAGACCAAACTAAAATTACAAGAAGATTTTATGCAGTTTATCAGTTATCAATGTCATCATGGTATGTTTTATGCGTGTAAAATATTAACAAAGATTTTTTTTGTTTTATAAAGGTGAACTATTATTTATATTTTATTTAACTACTTACGTTGTGTTAATTTTATTATACTATGAAAACCAAAAAACTCGCCATTGCTGATGCGGGAATGGTTGCAGTTAAAATATTGAGTAAAACTAAAAGAAATTGATCCAAATGTATAAAAAACTGTGTGAAAAAAAGAAATATATTTGGACATATGCCACTAATAAATGAACTAAGAATGAACGAGCCCGATGACTTAAAAAATTACCTCCGTATGTATTCACAGACTTTCGATTACTTATTAGGTATGTACAAATAAATATTAATAATAATAATGTGTACCTAATTGAATGGGTAGCTAATACCTACCTACTTGTCGGTTTTTTATTCTTAACACTGGCTATAAAAATATTTACGACTTAGATACATTTAGTTTATAGTTTTATTGCAATGTTAATTAGTTTTGATTTAATCAGTAGGTTCTTACCATAATTAATTTCAATGTGTTTTTATTGCTACCATAGTCCATAATAACTATTAAGTAAAATAATCGCTTTCGTTTTACTTTCTTTAATTGCAAAACATTGGCATAACTACCTATTTCTTTTTTCTATTTATAATTTTTTTTATTTCTATTCAAGTTTTTTTTTGTGCAATCCCAACATGAACAACGGGTTTATAACTGCTAATCTGTATTCCAATTTAATTGTACCGTACTGCGTAACTATAGGCAAACTGATTTGTGATTTCTAAGTTTTTAATATCCTATAAATAAAATCAATTTTAACCCCTTAACAGTACTATCTAATTATTACAAAATTATACTTAAATGATAGACTTAATACATACTGATCTACATATTATAATGATATAACCTAGATCAGCCCTAGCAATGGCAAAGCCAGGGGAGTGGCTAAGGGGCCTATAGCCCCCCTCCCATTGGCCATGTTGAGCTTAGAATTTTATCAAGATTAATAAAAATATAAAAAGTGTAAATAAAAGACATATT